AAGTTTATGAAATAGATTTTGTGTATATGGGTCAATGTAAACTGCAAACAGACTTTTGGTGTTGCTTGCAACTGGAATCTGAAATACCAGAATACATTATGTACACATTGTTCGCCAGCACTGATCTTTGTTCGTGAGTGGAGAAATATGTTCAGGAGAAACATAAGATTTCATGTTTGCAACTTGAGAATCGTGGTTAAAGCGCAATGAACATAGTTTGCGAGGTCAGAACTGATGTTTGAGTTGTAAAAAGTCTATGAGGCCTGAAATAGGACTTATTGTCATCATGCACTAAGAAAAATGCAAGTTATATTCACTAAAGTTCTTAAATATTGTTTCTTATTCTGCCACATCGGCCTAAAAGCTCGAGAAAACCACTACCTAAAACTGTCAATGAGAACCATCCCTCAGCTAGCTCTCCAGCTGTTGCAAAATCCAGCTGTGTTCAGTCTTTTCTTCATCCAAGGTCTAACAAAGTCTAATTTCACAATTATTACCTAAGTAGTGCATGTAAGATTTATCAATACTGGATTGCCAAAGGCTGCAAAATCACCCTGTTCTAAACTATAGTTAAATCCTTGAATTCGAACTGAACAACTCCCAATCAGAGGGTCTCGAACAAAGAAATAAATTTTCATGATTTCAAGATTCCAGATGTTTTCAACTATGTCATATTTTCCTTCCATTCCATCAACAGATGAATTTTCTTACATATCATTTCTTATTCTGCCACATTGGCCCAGAAGCTGGAGGAAACCACAACCTAAAACTGTCAATGAGAACCATCCCTCAGCTAGCTCTCTAACCAAACCCGTCTGGCCCAGTTATCTACTCCTGACGTCGTAGATCTGGGCCAGACTAGCTCCAATGCAAAAAATGGGGTATTTACTCCGGAAAAAACACACTGGTTTTTCAATGTATAATACGTGCTGATAAATGAATAAACATCATAAAAATCACTTACGTGTTTGGTCCTTGTATCAAACTTTGTATTTATATTAGGTTTCCATCGCTGGATGACGGCTAATAAATAAGAACGAAACGTCTAAACGCAGCAAAAAGAAAAATTCTTCTGCAATCTGTTCGTGATCTCGTAGAATATCAAGAAGTCTTGGCTGCTTATTTCGTTCAGTACTACATTCCATCAGTTCAACAAATTGAAAAATCGTATTTAATGTCCACCATATTTCTTTCCAGTTTAAATACAACACAGACACGTCTGTTTTATAAAGTAATCTACGTTTTGATAACAAATCTGCTGAACAAATCGTAATATTTGGAATGTATTGATTCCCGGGAAATGTATTTTCGTTCCATGAAAGTTTAAAAATTATCGCGTCACACTCGTGTTATGTCACATCACGTGACTTTATTCGGTGCGGAGAACTGACGAAATATTGACGAAATGTTGTGCCCATTTCAACATCAATATTAACAAACAAAACACAACATTTACGCGTAAGTTATGTTCTCTTTATTTCAAATAAATACTTGGGTTTACATGGTACCCGATGTTTTGGTTGGATGGCTAATAGGGAATGAATAATAAGTGATGATTCAGCGACATGTTTTTTCCGGAGTAAATACCCCCTTTTTTGCATTGGACATTGTCTGGCCCTAGATCTACGACAATTCAGAATCGGGAGTAGATTACTGGGCCAGACGGGTTTGGTTACTAGAGTCCATTTCACTGCTTCATTTCGTCAGTTGAACGGCAAATATAAGAAATTGGGAGACCATTGTGCAATAATATATGGAAAAGTATATTCATAATGTACATGAATGACATTTGTATATCTTGGATTGCTTCTAGTTTGGCTTATAAAGTGTGTGGCCTCTTATATTTGGATGTTTCTCTGCCATGTTATTTTCAATAAGATTAACATGGCTGAAATTCTTCAAATTACAAGACGGCACAACCTTATTCCACAAAAAACTCAAAAATCTGAAATACACAAATGTCATTCATGTACATTATGAATATACTTTTCCATATATTATTGCACAATGGTCTCCCAACTTCTTATTTTTGCCGTTCTACTGACGAAATGAAGCAATGAAATGGACTCTAGCTCTCCAGCTGTTACAAAATCCAGCTGTGTTCAGTCTTTTCTTCATCCAAGGTCTAACAAAGTCTAATTTCACAATTATTACCCCAGTAGTGCTTGTGAGATTTATCAGTATTGGGTTGCCAAAAGCTGCCGAATCGTTCTGTTCTAAACAATAGTAAAATCCTTGAATTCGAACTGGACAACTCCCAATCAAAGGGTCTCGAACAAAGAAATTGATTTTCATGATTTCAAGAAGATTCCATTTGTTTTCAAATATGTCATATTTTCCTTCCATTCCATCAACAGATGAATGTTCTTAAATATCGTTTCTTATTCTGCCACATCGGCCTAGAAGCTGGAGGAAACCACAACCTAAAACTGTCAATGAGAACCATCCCTCAGCTCCAGCTGTTGTAAAATCGAGCTGTGTTCAGTCTTTTCTTCATCCAAGTGTAACAGCTCAGGACAGTCTCCCGACACTGCTACGTACAGGGGAATGATACAAAAGAAACTATTCACAAAGTTACCCCTGTACAAATTACGTTGTGGTAGCGTGAAAAGAACGGTTGGCGTAAGTTCGAAATTGAGATGAATGGAGCTGTGTTGTTTTAAGTGATTCAGTCAGGTGCTGCCCCCTTTAGATGAGAATATAAAGTAAAAGAATGTATTGAAAGTGAAACCCAAAATTGTAATGTTAAAAGCTGACTATGCAGTCCTGCCCTCTATAAATGGGATTAAAAGCTAAAATTACTAATTGAACAAATGGCTATGTGAAGGAATCAGGGGACCCAGTAAAATGTGAAGATGATTGAAATGGCTTTAATCTTTTTTATGGATTTAATCTTAACCAGCTCAATTAACACAAACTATAACACGACAAGCAAGTAGGTTCTAGAATGATTGTTTAATTATTTGTAAATATCCTCTCTTGATGTACAAAAATAAATGAAAGATATCTGTTATCAAAATTACATTTTCACTGACTGTGACACAATAATGAACCTGACTAGTAAAAATATCAACTATAAAACTATCTAGCTATGAAGTTATGAATGTACCCTAATTATGCCTAGCTGAGACAAAAGCGCCTGAAAAATAAAAGTACAAAAATCCAGCCTATAAAGGCGATATCAGAGCGCTATGGGTTGGACAGTTAATCGCCCCTAGAAAGTAAATGGTACAAAATTCCAGCTCCTGATGGAGCGACTGGAGCACCTGGTTATCAAATACAAAATCCGTATAAAAATATCAGCAGTTCAATATTGCAGAAAATATTAGCACCAGTACATGTATGATTATAAACTTTCAAAGGCACAACATATATATTTTACAAGTGAATAAAATATGTTTTATCCGAATAATACTGGGTTCTGTGAAATACTATATAATCAGATTCAGATGTGTTAAAAGCTCAGATCTAGATTCAAAGTTTATAAAGTATATTTATCAAAATGTTCACCTTGAAGTTATTGAGATTCTTTGAAAATGCTAAAGTGTAATCTAGGTGAAATTTGGCGCTCAACGGTTCCAAAAATACCCTGACTCTCAGCAGGCAGTAATAATACTATGCTCTGAGGTAGTGAAATATCCCTGAACTCAAATGAGCGCTAAGCAGCAAAATCAGAATGAAAACTGGCAGAAACTCTCAAAGCTCAATTAAATGGCCAAAATAAACAAGATTAAAGATCTTAGCCCTATTTACTCTAGGAATAAATTAGTCTGCACCCTCCAGAGTATGGATGGGCACAGATTCTAAGGGTGACAAAATCAAAAATCAATTACATTCTGCCCTGTTATGTCAAAAAGAACTGGCCACCTCCGGCCTAAAAATGTAAAATGAAATTAGCTCAGCGCCTCAATTGAGTTTAAGAATATAAAAATATGGTTACAAAGACCAGGAAAATGATACCTGGCGCTTCGGAAATTGCCAAATCAAGGTGGAAAATGATTGAAAATCTAAGGCGCCCACTCTTAATCCAAGATGGCGACCTTGGTCAAAAACACGCCGTTTCGGGCGAAAACAGACAAAACTCAAATCTGGCAAATTCTTAGCGCCACTAATGGGGGAAACATACCCAGAGCCACCTGTTCTCACTCATTGTCACTTCCTTCGTCTCTAGGAACCTCAGATCTCAATATTCTCAGTAGTATAGTAGTGGAAAGGATGATATTTCGAAAGATATTGTCGTGTCGGTAAAAGATGGCTGTGATTCTAAAGCGAGGCTATGACCTCCCTTACATAAAATTATTACCCCGCAAGAAAGTGGCTATAAGTATGTTTCCCCAGTATTAAATGGATTTTGAAAACCTGATTTACAGGGAACCTTTAATTATAGAATAAAGGTCTTACCATGGCACAAAGCAGCGGGCAAAATCGCGCTCCAGAGCGAAGGGAAGTAGCGAACCGGGGGAAAGTTGGCATCAAAAATTTCGGGTAAGGTCCTTAACAGGAAGGTCAAACTAACCGGAAGTTCAAAAGTATGAAAAGCCAACCCGGGTCGCTACACAAGGATTAACAAAGTCTAATTTCACAATTAGACTATTACCCCAGTAGTGCCTCTAAGATTTATCAACATTGGATTGCCAAAAGCAAAAGCCGAATCGCCCTGTTCAACTATAGTTAAATCCTTGAATTCGAAGTGGACAACTCACGAACAAAGAAATAAATTTTCATGATGATGATTTCAAATTCAAGAAGTTTCCATATGTTTTCAAATATGTCATGTTTTCCTTCCATTCCAACAACAGGTGAATCATATACAATAAATACGGATACATACGTGATGATGCTTAATATGAATAGCTTGTGGGATCGTAACCAGCAGTAGAAAACGTCCCGATATGCACTTATGTTCGTGTCAACATCCTGATCAATGTGGTCACTCGTCGCTCCTGTCCGTAATGGCTGCTTTGTTTTATTTGTCAGCAGATGGCGACACTTGTTTTAAAGTATTGGACCAATGAAATCATTTGTAACAAAGGGTGTTACTAAATACCACCTAGGTGTCCCACACCTAGGTGCCCCTTTCCAGGTGTCCCTTTTCAGGTGGCGGCGTGAGGCTTGGAATATAGGGAAATATTGGTCGATTAGACCTTGATATAAGTCAAATAATAGTACTAGAGTATGAATGGAGTTGTACTTTTCTTGATGAGGTAAGAATAAAAGTAGTTTTGTGACATTTAAAGAGAAAAAACTAAGATATTTTTTCTAGATTTTTTTCTGACGCCATGTTGCTTTCGGAAAATAAAAATCTCTCAACTTTCTATCAGCATTTCCAACACTGGTCTTTGTTATTACAAAACCAAAAGTTGTTTTATGTTTTCATCGTTGTATCATTTATATGAGATGTTTACAACAATTCTAAAGATTCAACTCTCTTGACAAAGATGACCCAGGAACCCCAGGACCCTATCCTACAGATTTTCTTTATCAACCAGATCAGCTGGTCAGTTAGACTATATATCCTCTAGTCTGATATTAGATATAGACTAAGCAGCCAGTGTACAATGTACATGTCAGAGATCCTTAGTACAGTACTAAGGAAAAGTGTATGTATATGTAGACTGAGCAATAAAAAGTACATGACTTTGAACCCATGCACAGTAAAATTCAATAATTCTAGGATAGAAAATACTATTTTCTATCCTAGAATTATTGAATTTTACTGTGCATGGGTTCAAAGTCATGTACTTTTTATACAATACATAGAAAATAATGTTTGTGCATCTTCAGCATTCAGCTGAGAAGATATCTAATGATCTCTCTAGACTCGGCACGATGCCTTGTTCTGTAGGCATCTGGATGAGGAATGGGAGCAGCTATTCTGCCATCAACTGAATACTTTGGGGGAAAAAAACAGAAGCTGATGTCAAGTCAGTTCAACGTAATATACGATCCCAACATCTCAGTTTTACATACAGACATGGGCTTTCAACTTGATAATTATGAGAGTGCTTTAAAGCTCAAATATTGTTATATATCATTTTGCTACCAAGATACGACCACTTCCAAGTCAAGATTGTCCATTCATGAGTGCCTCGATAAGATCTACATTCTCTAAGTCATCATTTTTTTAAATAATTCAGTATTCGTGTATCCTAATCATTCAATGTTCACTTTCAGCATTTCAACTCACCATCAAAGTGCTGTACAAAATCTGATCAAAATGATGTTGAAATAGTGAAAGGCTGTGTGAAAGTGTAAGCTTGCCTGCACCCAAGCTTTCCCCAAGACTAGAATCATCATCAGGTTTGATATTAATGTTCAAATAATTATTGTCACTAGTTCCAGGCATAACCTAAAAGAAATTATCAGTATCTATGTAAATTGTTCATATACTGGATTTCATTTGCTTGAACAAATTTACTCAATATTTCATTAAGTTTATAGTCAAATTGGTTTTTTGCTCTTGTAAATGCTGATATATGCCTCATGGTGTCATTTTGTATTACATGTAGCTTAGCTTTTTTCATGTATATTTTGTAACAATAATAATATAATATGTATAATGATAATTTGTGAGTATGCACTTAAAAGTATCATTACTATACTTGTCCAAGTATAACCCAGTGGTCGAAACCCTTTCAAACAGATATGTTGATTTTTCTGTTATTTGGACACCACAACACAAAACATGAAAGACGAACAGTGGTTTGTGCTGACTCATTTAAACCAGACAACAATAGTCTTAAAAATAACTAGAGGTAGGATATTATATAATATTGTGATGTCACCAAGCATTAAGCATAGCAAGTTAACAAAATTAGAAAAAATCATTTTTCAACTTAATTTCTTTTTTCCCTGGAAAAGAAAGGTATTATAAAAAGAATTTCAAAAACAATATTCAATTTGGAAGGTGTATCTTAAAGAAAATCAATTTTAGGGATCGGTCCTACTGAACTCAATTTAAATGTTCAAAACAGAAAAAACGGCTCTTACCCAAAATCATTTACTAGCTTTATTTTTGACATTTTAATGTTCTTTCTTTGTAATATACAACATGGCGCACTCTTTTGAGAAAAATCACTAAATTATTCCATGATTTCAACATTTTACGGTTGTTTGCGTTTGATGGTTTGGTGAGCCTCTATAGCCTATAGAATGCTAATGCAGTTGGAGTGAAATATAACAAAAATAAAAAATTCATTTTTCAACTTTGATTTTCCTTTTTCCTGGTAAAGAGAGGTATTATAAAAAGAATTCAAAAACAATATTTAATTTGGAAGATGTAACTTAGAGAAAATCAATTTTAGGGATCAAACCTACTGAACTCAATGTAAAATGTTCAAAACAGAAAAATAGCTCTAACCCAAAATCATTCGCTGGCTTTATTTTTGACATTCTAATGTTCTTTCCTTGTAATGTATAAGATGGCGTACTCTTTCGAAAAAAATCACTAAATTATTCCATGATTTCAACATTTTATGGTTATTTGCGTTTGATGGTTTGGTGAGCCACTGTAGCCTATAGAATGCTTTAGTGCAGTTGGAGTGAAATATAACAAAAATAAAATAATCATTTTTCAACTTTGATATTCCTTTTCCTAGTAAAGAAAGGTATTATAAAAATAATTTCAAAAACAATATTTAATTTGGAAGATGCAACTAAGAGAAAATCAATTTTAGGGATCAGTCCTACTGAACTCAATGTAAAATGTTCAAAACTAAAAAAAACGGCTCTGACCTAAAATTATTCACTAGCTTTATTTTTGACATTTCAATGTTCTTTCCTTGTAATATACAACATGGCGCACTCTTTTGAGAAAAATCACTAAATTATTTCTTGATTTCAACATTTTACGGTTGTTTGCGTTTGATGGTTTGGTGAGCCTCTATGGCCTATAGGCTAATGCAGTTGGAGTGAAATATAACAAAAATAAAAAATTCATTTTTCAACTTTGATTTTCCCTTTTCCTGGTTAAGAAATGTATTATAATGATAATTTCAAATAATCAATATTCAATTTGGAAGATGTAACTTAGAGAAAATCAATTTTAGGGATCGGTTCTACTGAACTCAATGTAAAATGCTCAAAACTGAAAAAAACGGCTCTAACCCAAAATCATTCGCTGGCTTTATTTTTGACATTCTAATGTTCTTTCCTTGTAATATACAACATGGCGCACTCTTTTGAAAAAAACACTAAATTATTTCATGATTTCAACATTTTACGGTTGTTTGCGTTCGATGGTTTGGTTCAGCCTCTATAGCCTATGGAAAACGGCTCTAACCTAAAATCATTCGCTGGCTTTATTTTTGACATTCTAATATTCTTTCCTTGTAATATACAACAACTTTTTTCAACTTTGATTTTCCTTTTTCCTGGTAAAGAATCCAATCAAAGCAAAATCTATTTCATCTTGACAAAAAGAAAGAGATTAAAATTTTCAAAGAACTTGTGATTATACATCTTACATGATAGCATTTATAAACAATGCTTTGACTTAATTGTTTGCATTAACATGTTGCATATTACCCTTTTATCAAACAATAATCTGCTACAACTAGCCAAATATGGACTAAGGATTACAAAATATATTCTTTAATGATAGCTTCTCAAAACAATGCCTTGACTTGTTTACAAATGCTGTTGTATAATGCCGCTGTTATCAAACTCCAATCTTCTTCAACTAGAGAAAGAGATTAACTATTTCAAAGAACTATACATTTTACAATATCAATATATACCATTGGGCATATGAATTTTTAGATGACTGCAATAATTAAAACTTTAACTTAAATCTTCTTAAATAAGTTTTTTCAATATAAGTCATACATAAGATTTCTAATAGGGGATTATTTTCAAATGACAGTAAAAAATGAACTCCCTTAGTAATCATTGCTTAGGGAGATGAAGGGGTATCCCATGTAAAAAAACTTGATGATGTTTGGAATTACACATAATTTGTGTCTTAATACTGTAATTGCAGGATAGAGAGTTATGAGAAGGTCGCAGGTAAACTGTTCTCCACTTTAATGCTGCCGTAACATCTTGCTCCATCTGGCCTTGGCACAGGGTGTATGAGATATATACAACCAACTATGACTACCACCAGCAATACCCTGTTGCCATCTCTCATAGTCCTTATTCCAGGTGTGGATGGTCAGACGTAGAAACAGTTGTACCTTGATCTGCAGATAAAACTTATAGTGAGAATCTGGCTGCATCTGATCAACCATAACCACTCAGTGTTGGATTGTTAATATATGAAGTGAACTAGTTTATCAATAATGAGTTAAAGTCTGGATTACATCAGAGATTATTATGAATGTACTACGTCATGGATTGTATTCTGCATTGTGGATTACATGTATATACATGTAGTTCAAACTACATCCTGAGTTGTATAGTGCATTATGGATCATATACTTCAAGCTGACTGTATCAGCAATTATGACTGACTCTGTCTGGCTACCTCCTCCTCCAACATATAGATTAGGGAGAATAGCATTAGTCCCTTTAATGAACTGTAGAGCTAAGCTTGAAGTTTGCATAATTTCAAACTTGCACTGCTATGGTATCTATAGTTATAAAAAGAGGATCTACTGCTATTGATGCCTCATGTTGTTGCTTTGTGAAATAATTGATTTGTAGTTTTGTTATGTCACCACCAAAAAGTGGTGACATATTCCATTTTTTGACAGCGGTTGGTGGTTGGCGGTTGGCAATCAGCATCTGTAACAAATTCTTACAACTTCCAATAACTTAACAAATACTGTTTAGACCAACTTCAATTTTTTTCAAAATCATCTAAAAGTTTTCAGAAGTTCAAATCTGACTTTACATTTATGTTTGACCTTGACTGACCCTCTCAAGTCAAAAAAGGTCAAAAAGGTATTTTTTCAACTTGCTTCAAATTGACCAATATCTTTTTTCAAAATCATCTACAAGTTCTCAAATATTCAAATCTGACTATAGATTTGACCTTCAATGACATTCTAAAAAAGTAAAAAAGATTTGACCTTTAATGACCTTCTCAGGGTCAAAAAGGTCTTTTTTCATCTTGCTTCAAATTGACCAATTTTTTTTTCAAAATCATCTACAAGTTCTCAGAAAGTCAAATCTGACTTAAAGATTGAACTCATAATACTGTGAACACCTAGGTGGTGACATGTTGTTATTTATGCCTTGTTGGCATCTTGTCAGGGGTAGGGGAAAATTCAATTTTTATATAATTGTCATTGAAATCATGCTTAGAATCTTTCAACCTTTAATATCTAATATTATGTGTACATGAGACCATGTTGTTTAAATATTCAATGTCTTATATCATTATTTTGTGAAATAATTGACGTGTAGTTTTCTTGGCATCTCTAGGGGAAAATGTAGTTTTAATATTGTCATTGAAATCATGCTTAGACTGGTTTAATCTTTAACATCTTATATGGTATGTACATGAAACCATCTTGTTTAAATTCAATGTCTTATGGCATTATCTTGTGAAATAATAGTTTTCTTGGCATCTTGTTAGGGGTAGGGGAAAACACAAAATTTCAATATTGTCATTGATATCATGCTAAAACTGGTTTAATCTTTAACAAGTGTATCAGATGAGAAAATGAAAATTATGTAAATGCATTATTTAAAGACATTGTTCCCTATTCATGTAATTCTCTTGTAAGTTGTTCTCTATGTTAAATGTAAATGCATACGTTGAGGATGCATATATATCAAATTGTTCTATATGTCCTATATATCTATTTGTATGTTTATATATTTATTGTACATATTGTTAATAATTTTAAATTATCACTGGGCCTCTAGAAAGACCAGTTTTGTACTGATAGAGCTACCCAGAATAAATATAGTTTTAAAATCAAATCAAATCTAATATATTATGTAAATGAAACCATTTTGTTTAAATATTCAATGTCTTATGTCATTATTTTGTGAAATAATTGACCTGTAGATTTGTTGGCATCTCATTAGGGGTAGGGGAAAAACGCAAATTCAGTAATATCAATGTTAATCATGCTTAGCCTGGTTTAATCTTAACATCTAATTATTATGTACATGAAACTACATGTATGTTGTTTAAATATTCAATGTTTTATTTCATTATTTTTTTATCATTTAAAAGTACAAGTGGAATGTAGAAAACAAGTTTTCCTAATAAAGTTCATTTATACACACAAAAAGATTTTGAGTCAATATTGTTTTTAGGAAGGAGTAATGGTTTCGGCCAACAAACCACTGCATGCCACTTAAAATGTTTGTGAATCCTTCCCTGTGAATTTCATCTTATAGTGCATTTGATCAGTTTTTAACATACAGGGTGTCCTAAAATATATGCACTCTGTTTATGTTGTTCTGTTATGTTTTCCAATATTTACAATATTTTGTCCATTCTCCATACTTAATACATGATGAACAATAGACTAGATGCGAGTAGAAATACTTTGATTTACGTCATTACATATTCATAATTCAGTCAAAGTGATGTCTGAAATCTACATGTTAAAGGACATCTAGAAATATGGTTTTGAAAATTGCTTATCAACTTTGAGGATTTAATCTATGGGAAAAATGTTATTTCTAGTTCTGGGAGATTCCCCATAGGCCCCATGTTATAAAACCACAAAAGTCTCACAACCTCTGATTTTTCAATTTCAATCTAACAGATGTTTTTTATATTTGAAGTGAGTAAAAGATGTGGCATTGTCCAATATTGTGAACTCTATAATATAGGCCTAGTATCTAATATAATATAATAGCAAAGACTTTATTTGGATAAATGTACTATGCTGTGTAAGGTGAGGCAATTGCCTCATCCCTGGCCTCACCTACGATGTAGATGTTGTACACTAGCAACACTTATGTTGACATAATTCAAACAGGGTAGCCCCATTGGTCTGAATCCCATTGGTCCGAATCTCACTGGTCTGAATCCCAGTCGTCCGAATCATTGCTGAATCCCAATCATCCAAATTGTCCGAATCCCATTAGTCCGAATCATCTGAGGCCAAATTCCATTGGTCCAAATCTGAATCCAGTGGGATTTGGACGATTGCATTTTGGACAAATGGTGTGTAGTCATTCTAACAAAATATATGGATTTTGAACTATGATTATAATAGTCATCATTCAGGCCTCATTATTCTAATGTCATGTGGATAATTGGTATCCATTGGCAAAGTGCAATTTGTGGTATGGGTCTTGGCTGAGACGATCATAAAAGTTGTAAACCTTGTGTTACTGTGTTAAAATGAACAATCGCAACACCAATGTGCTATTTCTATACAGAATTAGAGTGTAACATACACAGTGACTGACATAATCGAATCGGAAATGACTCTTGTTATAGTCTATGTGACTACACATTTATAAATCATAAGTTGATATATTATGACCGTCGATTAACCTCATTATGCAACATAATTTCGCAAGAAATACTAGTTCGTGACTTTTGTGGACAATATTTCGGTATTTTGAGCAAATTTATTAAGCATATCGTCGTTAAACATTATGTATTTCGACCATACACGACCACTCGTAAACCCAAGTGGCGGCCATATTATTTTTTCTCGTCGAAGCCCTCTTCTTTAACACTTTTTTCATGCTATACAATGTCAGACTCGTATTAATTTATCAACCAACGAAATATTTACAAAGCCATTTAAGTTACTGTAAAGTTTCAAAGAGTTTCCTTCACTAAAACATCGTTAATCAGTAGTCTAAAAATCCAGGTGCCCTAGGGGACACCTAGGTGTCCCCAGGTGGGGGCACCTAGGTGCGGGACACCTAGGTGGTATTTAGTATTACCCGTAACAAATGTTTCAAAGATGGAGGCCACAGTTGATAAACTTGAAGCTATGGTATGTAATTTGGTCTGTATGTCTCCATGGCTATTGTATTATGGAAAAAACTATGTTAGACTATTTGGTCTTAATCAGATACATAATTTGATATCCTAATTACTCTGTAATTTGATCGCTAGGTCATTAAATATTCTTCTTTCTTACGAAGAATTTTTTTGAAAATAGAAAAAAAGTCGAAAAACAGAAATCGAAAAGAATTCCGATTCGAAATCTTGTGATTGATTAGTGGTTATTCAGGTAATGTTGAGCTTTGTGTCAACTGCTGACAACGTTTTTCAATCGCAATATTTCAATACACAAGTTGTTGTGGGCTTGATATGCAAAATTAGACTAACTCAAATTTATGGAGGTACAGTTTGGAACATAAATAAATGACAGGTGGATTTGCTGAACTGAGGATTTCCCATGTTAAAAATAAGAGAATTTTCAAAAGGCCATACATCAGTGGATGAGATAATACAATGTGAAATACACAAATTTTAAGGGATAGGGGAAATGGTCCTAAGTTTCCAGAGTACCTGTGCCGTGATAGGACCATTTCCCCTATGTATCAGGACAATATTGGAATTATGGGCTTTCAGATGACCATGATTAGGAAATGGTGATCGAAAATCAACGTGTCATTTATTTTTGTTCCCAACTTTAGATCTTATCCCGTGCCAGGACTATAGTCCCAAGAACGTATAACTTATTTCAACCGTCAAATTCCTCCATTTATTGGTACTTTTGGGTTACTTCCGGGCCAGTCAAATGGGGAATCGATGAAATCTCTCTCGATGAAAAAGAAAAAAAATTCAAAATCGAACATGGCTCTCGAAGTAAGTAAGAGTGAGTAAAAGTAGTCTAATAAGCAATTTGGTGAAAATATATTTTACATTTTCAGTTCAGCAAAGCTGAGTCAGATCTGGACTACCTGGAAAGGAAATTAGACAATGAATTCTCCCAAACTCAGACTGGGGAAGGTGACCAGGTAAAATGATATTCTTGTATTAGTACTTACCAAAAATTTCAAAAAGACCTTAGTTAAATATGCAGTATACATACCAAGACAATCAATGGTGTCCCATCATTAGTGCTCATATAATATCTCACGCACCATGGATACATTTTGAGAATAACTTTTGGGTATATTATTGCCAAAATATTGATATAATCAACAGAACAACCAACCTCCAGAATTAAACACAATCGATTCCTTGGCTAGCGAGGGGAATCCCCGTTGAGTCACACTTGTGAACTATTGAATTAATTTACACGAAAATAATTATATCGGTCAGCACAAATGCAAAATTAACACTGAACGCGGAGATTTGGAACTTCTTAATTGGTAAGTAGATGTATGTAGTGAAACTCAATATTTAAAAAGGTGTCTTGATTGTGCTATCTTATGGTATAGAGCCTCTTTAAGCTTTAATGTCCTGTTTAAAAGCCCCTATTTCTAATGTCGAAAATGGATTCTAGCAATACGTACTATCCCACATAAATGCCTCTTGTTGAGATTCAATCAATTTGAGGTCTCGAGAACTCTCTCAGAACTCCAGTTGATCAAGTCTCAACAATTACTGTAGAAGTCATGATTCATGTTGGAGAGTATTGCTAGAATCCATTTTCAATAATAAGAATAGAGGTTCTTTAACAGGACGTTGCATTTTAGAACTTTTTGTTGGTACCATATACATGTACGATTGTACGTGTTTGTTCACTTTGGCATGGTTCAGTTAGACTCAGATAAGGACAAAGGATTATTCATATGACCATGCCATACGCATCACATGTTTCTATCTTAGTTTCTTTGAATTTGGCATAATTGTTACAGGTCCATGGTAAAAATTCTTTCAACACCCTACAGTTTTTCACCATTCTGAGCACTTTAAAAGTGATATTGGCCAATAGTTGTCAAATGTGAATCCCCTCAAAGTTTTGAAAAGTGAACCCCCTTGGCAAAAGCTGGCTACGGGCCTGAGTTAATTGTATTTTTTTTTATCACATCTGCATCTCCAAAAAGCAGATGATAGTTCAGAATCAGAGAAACAAGATAATCTGGATCTAGGATGCACATCTGTTTAGTTTATTATTTGCTTGGTTACATCTCTAAATATTCACATTTATTTGTTGTTGTTTTGATTATCATAGTAATTTTTCTACAAAGATTTTTTTCACGAAGTTGCCAAAGCAAACATTATTGGCAACTATACATATAAACATACTACAATTAAATTAATACAAAAGTAAACAGATTATGACAATACTAAAACGGGCTGCTGGTGGTTGGTTGGTAGTTTTTATTTCTTAAATTATGATATATTTTCCTACTACATGTATACACATTATCAATTTATGTTTTCTGTTTAGGTTGAAGTCAACCCTGTTGAGATGTTAGAGAGGGTGGCAAAAGTGAAAGAAGAATTTGGTGGCATTGTTGATGAGACCAATAAAATCAAAGAGGCCCAACAGGTAATAGTTTGTGACATGTTGTTAAAGTTTCCGACTTTTTTGTGGATGCAGTTGGTGTTTGACATTCAGCATTCGTAACAAGTGGGAGGTGTGGTGACATTTCTCATATTATGCCTTGTTTAAATTCATTCAGATTTGTCTATTTCAGTCAGAACCCAAGGGTTTCTTTAGCTCCAGGCAACGAAAGATTTACTGGCCAAGCAACAGTTATTTGCAACATTTTCTCGCTAGATTTTGTAACCTGATGGATCACGATCAGATGAATACATCCAACCCTTTGTTTAAAGTCTGTCAGAGTCATTAATATAAGATACCCATTCCTTACCTGGCTATATAAAACAAAAGAGTGGAGATTTCCGAAGATGTTATCATGTGACGACATCTTGTCGTGTGATCAACAGCACCTTTGCTTTTTTTATTGCGGACTTGGTCCTTCCTAGTCCTACTAGGTTTGGGTCGGGTGGCATGTCCTATGATAACGTTATACAATTATTAACTTGTAAAAAGTAAAATGTTTTTTTTGCTGAGATGGAATCTTGACTTGATCTTGATGGAATCCTGAGCCAGATCTAGTTGCCATATTAGTATATTTAATTTTATTGAGCCTTGAGACCAACAAGGAATCTGGCAGAGGTCTGTGTGTTGTGACCACATATTTGTTGAGCCACACTTAACTTGCATTCCTTATCTTCTTATTCTTATTCCAGGAAGCTGTAGAATTTTTCAAAACACAACTCTCCACATTATGTGTTGCCATGACGAAGCTACAGGAACAAAGTGGTATGGAAAAAGGGGAGGAGCCTGAGGAATTACAACAATTGAGAGAAACTCTAGGAATAGAACTGCCTACTAATGATGCTCCGCCCACTTCTCTAGAGACAGCCACACCCACTCAACCAGTTGTTCCACAGTCTGATCATCAATGTCAATCTAATCAAGATCAATCACGTATGTGTTTACATCTCACTTTGAAAAAGTGCTGTATTGTCATCTTGTGCTGCTACCACCACAAGTGGTGACATATTGTCTTGCACTGATGTGTCTGCATGTGGACGCCACAAAAATCTTGTCATCAAATCAGGAAAACTGCTGACCTGTTCAACTTGAAATCTTTACAGATTCAGAAGCAAACTAGTGACAATATGTAAGATCTGATTAAATTTTGGGCATACTTGGTAGATAGCATGGTGACCGTTTTGCTAGATCCAAAGTGTAATAATTATTACTGTGTGTCTTGAGAGGATACCACTTAATTCTGCACAAGCTATGACTCCATTTGTAAAACATTTGTCCCTCCTTTGGTAGAAACATTTGAAGAGCTTTATCTTACCAATGTCATCTCATTTTCAGCTGAACCATTAGACACAAGTGAACGACAGAATAGTGACTTAAGGGCACAATCTAGTGAGATGATATCACTAAGTCCTGCACAAGTTATGACTCCATTTGTAAAACATTTGCCCCTCCTTCGGTAGAAAAATTTGAAGACCTCTTATCTTACCAATGTGATCTGATTTCCAGCTGAACCATTACACACAAGTAAACCACAGAATAGTGACTTGAGGACACAATCTATAGAGATACTTATACCACTTAGTTAGATTAGATTTATTTCCACACAATTTAGTTCTGCACAAACTTTTGCCCCTCCTTTGGTTGAAACATTTGAAGAGTTATTATCTTACCAATGTGATCTTATTTCCAGCTGAACCATTACACACAAGTGAACCACAGAATAGTGACTTAAGGGCACAATCTAGTGAGATAATTCCAGTTAGTTCAAAAGAGTTCATGTCAGTTTCCTCTTTAATACGAGGGAGAGTAAAGCTAGAAGATGTTAATAAGGTATGTTTTTTGTAGTTAAGTTAACAAATAAGCTAAGCTCCTACCATTTACTCATGGAATTCAGACTAAAAGGTTGTTCCAGTTTTTATCATCATTGCCATTTTATGATTCCTCTTTGTTTTCAAATGATTGGCAACTGATTCAAATTTTGGTAATAGTTGACTGTGCGTGCAGACTGCAGGGGCTGTGGAGCTTTATCATGTCACAACCAAAAAGTGTTGATGTATTGTTATGTTCTCCGTTTTTTTGTGAAAGCCGTTGGTGGTTGGCGATCGGCGGTTGGTGATCGGCGGGTGGCTGTTTACGTCTGTAACAAATTCTTAAAACTTCAGAGACCTTTTCAAGGTCAAAAGGTCTTTTTTCAGCTTGCTTCAAATTGACCAATTTTTTTTCAAAATCATATACAAGTTATCAGAAGTTCAAATCTGACTTTAGATTTAAGATTTGACCTTCTCAAGGTCAACAAACGGTCAAAAAGGTATTTTTACAGCTTGCTTTATATTGATCGTTTTTTCGAAATCATCTAGAAGTTCTCAAAAGTTCAAATCAAAGATTTCACCTTCAATGAGCTTCTCAAGGTCAATGAAGGTCTTTTTCAACTTGTTTCAAATTGACCAATTTTTGCAATGATTGCAATTATTGTGCAGTAAAAAGTGGAACAGTGGCTTTCATCAAAGTGTACACCAAACATAAAATGTACATAAACTCACCTCATGTGTTTTTCTTCATTGTTGCAGACATACCAGATGATATGGACAAGATTTAAAGAAGAAGGCAAAACGTAAGTTGAATGATTATTCACTAGGATCCTTCAGAGTGCAGCTTCATATATTTTAAAATACCTTGTTCTCTCTTGTTCTTTTCACATTTTCAGCTCCTAAATTTAGATATTAAGCTGTTTGATATTTTATTCCAATCTCTGAGTAATTTATTCAGTCCTATCGTGTTTTCTGTCTTGAAGTTGTTTGATTTCACAAATATTGAGTTCATTCAATGTTGTTTCACTAAATGTAAAGGGAAAATTCCTTGTTAAGAATTGTGTGCGTTGAAAAATTCAAAAACATTTGTCTAGAGATTTAACATCCTGATTTCAATTAAATTACAACATTTCCCAAGAGTATAAAGGGTATGAATTTAGGATCAGCAGAGGCAAGGAATGTACTGAAATTACTTTATTTCTCTTCTACTTCAGAGATCCCCTCACTCCAGGAGACATGTACAAGATGGGACTTAAAGTGACTGGCCAGACAGGAGAGGCAAAATTAAAGGTAAGTATTCAATTTTGCACTTTATTTAAAACTCTAATTTTTAGTCTAGTCTTTTAAATGTTGTTGACTACTATATGTCTTTCATAAGGCATCTAAAGAGTTAATAAAAGATACATACTCCCAGAGTATCTTTTCACTCTTTGGATATTGAATTTGAATATTGGGCATGCTGGGTAAATGACATAGTGGCTATATTGACATAGGAAATTCTGTTTAATATCAAATTTTTATCAGAATTCCAGGAAATTTGCGCCCATTTAACTTGAAACTTTACGAGCACATTTTTACCATTTTGAAGTTAAATATCATCATTGTATTTTGTGTTTTGATATATCATTATTGTTTACATTTCCAGGTTTTAAGGGCACTGAAAATCGTACATATATCCAACAAAGGAGCTGTTAAACTTTTATGAGGGACCCTATGGACACTTATAATTACAACTTGGCAAAGTTCCACTATTAAGAAACTTCGGACTCAACCTTTTGTGATAGCTTGAACGACATATAAGGATATACAGTAAAGTTGATTTTAAGTGACCTACATATTACTTCTTAATATGCAAATGTCAAGCGAGGTAAAAGTGGGTAAAGTGAGGCAAAAGCAGGTGAAGTGAGGCAAAAGCAGGTGTAATGAGGTAAAAGCAGGCCAAGTGAGGTAAAAGCGTGTAAAGTGAGGAAAAAGCATGTGAAGTGAGGCAAAAGCAGGTGAAGTGAGGCAAAAGCAGTTGAAGTGAGGCAAAAGCAGGTGAAGTGAAGCAAAACCAGGTGAAGTGAGGCAAACACAGGTGAAATGAGGAAAAAGCAAGTGAAGTGAGGCAAATAGCACATGTAGTGGGCACTTGCTCTTAAGTACACTGTTGGATTACTTATATTCAGGATTACCCTACATGTATGTGACTTTATGTGATGATCACAATAATACGATATACAAGTTACAGTGTATCCTGTAGGGCATTCTAACTGTCAAGAAGGACAGGGAAGTAGAAAGCCTGGCTTTCCACTTTGATAGTACAGGGATTGAACTTAGCTGAGTGAACCCTGATAACTGCTCATATCAGAATCCAGATTATGTCAGGGATGAAACAGAAAACATGAGGACAAAGTGATGTATAAGTGAGAGACTAATTATCCTGTAGATTTGCAACCAAAGCAGAATAGAAACACTTATATTGACAAGGCTGAATCATGGGTACTAACAAGATCTCATGAGTTCGCTTGGCAGTAACATAGCAAAGGAATTGGGCTATATGTATTGAGCAATCCTGTCTGTAACATGGTCTGTATTATAATCAGCTCAAAAGTAGATGCTTAAATGCGTATGGTATGTTGAGGTCTGGTTAGTGTGTATAAAGGGGGAAATGCATGCTTGTGTTATGTCGCGGTCACATATGCTCCGATTTTCAGCACTGGCGCCCGGCCGATTGAGTATTGTGTTCAAAATTGAACACAATTTTGAACACAATACTCAAACGGCCGTAATAAAAATTGGAGCAAATGTGACCACGACAATAAACGAGTGCAGCATGGTTGACACATTACATTGCAATAGTCTTAGTGGAACATTTAAGTAGAGAAAAAAGGAAGAAAAGGGCATCAATTTTCTTTGGAATAATTAGAATTAATAATTTTGTTTGTTATCCTTAATCACATTACAAAGTTTAACTTTTGATATTGTCATATAATTGGTCTCTTTGTTTATAGACAAATAACAAAGATTTGGTTCAAGATAAGCAAATTCCTAAATGAGCAAAAAAATCCTATTTTAGCAAGATTTTTGTTTCTCTAGACTTGCAAAATATCTATGTTTAATCAAAATGAGTGGAGGGTTTGACTAGTGAGGGAAAGGCAAAAACCAGATAAAGCACAGTGTTAAACAAATACTTTTCTGTAGTGGCCTAACATGGATTTCACAAGTCACTTGGCTTTAACATGGATGTGTAGTAAAGCATGTAACGATTAAGATTAAATATATTTCAATTTATTTATGAACAATATACACACCTTTTGGGTTGATTTGAAAAATTCTAAAATAGCTATGCAAGGGAAACCCAGTAAAGACTCGTTTCTGAAAATATCGATGAACGACATAGTTTAGTATTCCCATATCGCAGTTCATATCTGAAGGGGCTTCATTGAATGCCTCCGTCATATGATGAAGAAATTCCAAAATTATACTCCTGCTGCCACCTATTATTCCAGCATTATAGAGAAACTCTTGTTTATGAATTGCATTGACCTTTTCACTTGCGGTTTTTCCTAAACAGTTTTTATAAAGATTATTCACCCATATGTTAGAGGTTGATTGCTGAAATTCACATTTATCTTGACCTACATATAACAGATCCTCGTTTATGAATCCCATCAATTCAAATGGGTTTTTCAGAAATTTGACATCAGCTATATCGGTGAAAAGCACCCATTTTAGTTCTGGGTGATTTTTCACATACTCGTAATAAATGTAAAATCTGGCATCATTCACTGAGTTTGGACCGAGATCAGCTTTAACAAATGAGACATTCTCATTGGCTACTCTGGTTTTGAAATCGAGGTCAAGGTTATCATAGAAAATTAATCCTTTCATGCCTACATCTTGAAGACTCCAATACCATGCAGCAAAGTACTTGAAATTGTTTGTGCTCTGATTGGTCGGTCTTTGGGGGTCCTGTTTACTTGTGAAATATGTACTGAAAACTGCAGAGTTGAGTTTACTAGGATAAATATCTTTCTTCATTCTATTGAACCAAATTATATGCTTCAGAATTGCATCTTTTATATTAGTTTGAGCCATGTATGAAAGACCTACATCACAATTGCAAATTAATTTTTCGACGTCTGCTGAGGCAAATGCATTATGGGAAGTGTATGTATTATATCCCATGATATCTAAGATCATTGATTCAATCATAGAAAGGTTTGCTTGTAAGTAGCACTCTATAGAAGACCTTTGGAATGTTGCTGTATTTTCACGAAGATGCTGAACTAAAAAAGCAGCTTCTTTGGAGGATAGATAGTGTAGAACTTTATTGGTTGTCTCCTGTTTGTTTTTATTAGGAATAAAATTATGCTCCACATTTCTTATAAAAGTATGAACATTTGAACCAATGCAATATGGGCCCAACAAGATTGGAACTTTGAGCAACAAGACTTTATTTTGTTTGCTATATTTGTGTATGACATAATCTACAGCTCCTTGCCAATCATCTGGTAAACTGTCTTCTGCAATATCCATTGCATTATGGGTAATTATTGTAATATTAACAGAGTTCCTTTCAATTGTATCCAAAATGGCTGCCAATTTTGACAACTTATCTCCATTTGTATTGACAATGTCAATTATTAAAATATTCACCATTTTGATCACTGTATTATCCACATCAGACAGAATTGTAATGTCACTACCTGATTGTTTTAAAGATTCAATAATGTCCTCCTTGAGTTGTGTATTTAAAGTAGGATTGAATCCATTTTCGGGTGCCAGAGAATTATTAAAGCAATCGACCACCTGAATGGTATGGCTGTTCAATAAACTCACTAAAGGTAGCGTGAGACAACTTATTCCAAATATTAATATAGTTGATTTTGAATTTTCTTCGATTTGATTTTTACCTTGTCTGGTGTATATTTGATAATCATAGATTTTGTTGAATTCGTCTGTGTGTATATACTTTAAAAGAATATAAAATAATATGCATTTTATCAAAATCAAAATTCCTGACACCAAAATAACAAATTTAGTCTTGAATTTCATTGTTATTAGGTTCTTGGGAGCTCTATCATTCGTTTCGATGTTATTCCTAATCTATTGTCATTAGGTACTATTTCAAAAGCTGTTCATTCAATATTTGATCCTCATTGTTGTCAGGTTAAAGGCACTTGTTGAAAGGTTACAGTGGTTAAAGGCACTTGTTTAATTCCTCATTGTTGAAAGGTTAAAGGCACTTGTTTAATTCCACATTGTTGAAAGGTTAAAGGCACTTGTTTAATTCCTCATTGTTGAAAGTTTAAAGGCACTTGTTTAATTCCTTATTGTTGAAAGGTCAAAGGCGCTAGTTTAATTCCTCATTGTTGAAAGGTTAAAGGCACTTGTTGTATTGTTAAAGGTTAAATGCACTTGTTTAATTCCTCATTGTTGAAAGGTTAAAGGCACTAGTTTAATTCCTCATTGTTGAAAGGTTAAATGCACTTGTTTAATTCCTCATTGTTGAAAGGTTAAATGCACTTGTTTAATTCCTCATTGTTGAAAGTTTAAAGGCACTAGTTTAATTCCTCGTTGTTGAAAGGTTAAATGCACTAGTTTAATTCTTCATTGTTGAAAAGTTAAAGGCACTAGTTAAATTCCTCATTGTTGAAAGTTTAAAGGCACTTGTTTAATTCCTCATCATTGAAAGGTTAAAGGTACTTGTTTAATTCCTCATTGTTGAAAGGTTAAAGGTACTTGTTTAATTCCTCATCGTTGAAAGGTTAAAGGTACTTGTTTTATTCCTCATTGTTGAAAGGTTAAATGCACTTGTTTAATTCCTCAGTGTTGAAAGATTAAAGGCACTTGTTTAACTCCTCCTTGTTGAAAGGTTAAAGGTACTTGTTTAATTCCTCATTGTTGAAAGGTTAAATGCACTTGTTTAATTCCTCATTGTTGAAAGTTTAAAGGCACTTGTTTAATTCCTCATTGTTGAAAGGTTAAATGCACTAGTTTAATTCCTCATTGTTGAAAAGTTAAAGGCACTAGTTTAAATCCTCATTGTTGAAAGTTTAAAGGCACTTGTTTAATTCCTCATCGTTGAAAGGTTAAAGGCACTTGTTTAATTCCTCATTGTTGAAAGGTTAAAGGTACTTGTTTAATTCCTCATCGTTGAAAGGTTAAAGGTACTTGTTTTATTCCTCATTGTTGAAAGGTTAAATGCACTTGTTTAATTCCTCATTGTTGAAAGAATAAAGGCACTTGTTTAACTCCTCCTTATTGAAAGGTTAAAGGTACTTGTTTAATTCCTCATTGTTGAAAGGTTAAATGCACTTGTTTAATTCCTCATTGTTGAAAGATTAAAGGCACTAGTTTAACTCCTCCTTGTTGAAAGGTTAAAGGCACTTGTTTAACTCCTCTTTGTCACAAGTTTAAAGCCACTTACTCATGTTACTTGTTAGTTTGTATCTTCTCAATAAAAAAACTCGGAAATGTTCACACATTGAATCACTGTTGTCTGAATTCAATAAAAGAAAAAGCCTGGTAGCTTACTTTATAAAGTTCGACCCTGTCATGATTTATTGGTGTATAATTGTCAAATAGCCTATAGCATACAACTATTATCATTCTCGCCAAGCTTTCATGTCAAAATATACATTTGTTATGTTTTCTTAAACATAAAATATAACTTTCATAGACAATCTCAGAGCCTTTCTTCCAGTGCAATCCGTGCCTCCTCTCCTGGTAGTGAAGGTACGCAACGAACAAAATGAATTTTGAGAATGTTTCATAGAAACATTGGGAGAAAAGATGTTTTTCATTGGGAAAACACAACGTCTAAATTGGAAAACACATAAAATTTTTCATTGGGCAAAACACAACGGCAGCATTGGAACACACAAATTAAATTTTTCATTGGGAAAACACTAATTGCAACATGAGAAAATTAAATCTTTTAAACAAAGATACAAATGGCAAAATGAGAAAACACAAATTGAATCTTTTTTGGAAGATGCAAAATGTCAATCTTGGAAAACACAATTAAAGTCATTCATTTGGCAACACTAATAATAAGGTAATATTGAAAAACACAAATCTTTCATTGGAAAACACAAATTAAATCATTTATTGGAAGACAAAAATGGCAAAATTGTAAAACACAAATTAAACACTAATGGCAACACTGCAAAACACAAATTAAATAATTCATTTAGAAAACACTAATGACAACATTGGAAAATACAAATTAAGTCATTTATTGGGAAAACGCTAATGGCAACATTTGAAATCACAAATAAATACTTTCATTCGAAAACACATATTAAATAATTCATTCAGAAAACACTAATGGCAACATTTGAAATCAAAAATAAATATGTTGATTGTAAAACACAAATCAAATCATTCATTCAAAAAACACTAATGGCAACATCTGAAATCATAAACTAGGACTTTCATTGGAAATAGAAATCAAATCATTCATTCCAGAAACACTAATGGCAACATTTGAAATCACAAATAAATACTTTCATTGGAAAACACAAATCAAATCATTCATTAGAAAAACACTAATGGCAACATTTGAAATCACAAATAAATACTTTCATTGGAAAACACAAATCAAATCATTCATTAGAAAAACACTAATGGCAACATTTGAAATCACAAATAAATACTTTCATTGGAAAACACAAATTAAATCATACTTTTGGAAAACACTAGATCTAACGGCAGCATGAGAAAACACAAATTTAATCTGTCATTTTGAAAACACTTACGGCAACATTGGAAAACACAAATCATTCATACACTGTAGAAAGACACAAAATTTGACAAATGGCTATTTGAAAATTCATTGATTGAACTTGAAATGTTAATTGCAAAGATTCAATTTCGTGAGTACCAAGTCGTGTTCTTTGACCTGGCTCATTCGACGAACCGGAAGTCGAATAAAAAGCGGGATATTTGTCATTCTTGCAAGTATTTCTAGATTTTCAAGTGAATAGGTGAGTAGAAGGCAATGTGTTTTACACCAGTTAGTAGAGATTTGAGTCAGAATATATGAGGCGTAGTTTTTTTTATTCAAATGCTCAATTTGATGAGCTTTTCTTTCAAAATCATAAATGGGAAAACGCTCATGGGTATCTAGGCTAGAACAACAACATTAGACCTAGCCTGGGCCTCGTTTCTTAACCTCCATGATCATTTTGCCAGCTTGATGCGTTAATTTAATCGTTCCGCAGGTTTCGACCTAGTATGTATCCAACAGACCGAATATAATATTCGGTCTGTTATGATTGATATATTTCCTGTGGAAATCGCGGTGATATTTTTTGCACATTAATTTCTCGTTTATTATAAGAATGTTCACCTTGAAAATTGGTGAATATGTTGAAGAGATGTTCATCTTAAACTAGAAGCAAAAATATTTGTATAAGGCGGGTACAAGTTGATATAAAATAATGAAATGTTCAGACTCACCGAAACTTCAGGATGTGTTCATAAGTAGATCGCGAAATCAATGTCAAGGACGTTTGAGTTCACGAGATCCAAACGAGATATGCAAATTTTGAACTTTGACAACACATGACCACTTGATTACCTCGGCCTTCTTCATGAATATTTCCGCTCTATTTACTATAAATGAAGAAAATTAATCGGGATAATGATAATAAATGACTAGATCTAATAAATTCCCGCACAAATGGAATTTAGCAATACGCTTCCGTAATGTTGCTCCGCCTGCTCCATGTGTTATTTGTTTACAAATAGACTGACGTCACTGGCTAAATCTCGTTTATCGTGATAATTGGCATTGCCAAAATGGCTTGACCTAATCAATGGCTTCGCTACAAGAAGCGTCTGTACATTTTATGAATATCTTCAGTAAGAGGACAATATACGAAAAAATAATATTGTAAGTTCTTTATAAGGTAATCATTTTATCATTAAACAAACTTATTTGTAACATTTATACAACACCACATTTTACAATAGGTGACTTACAGTCTGAATATTTATTCAGACGAAGGATACAGTCTAGGTTTCGACCAGCGGAACTAATTAAACACTGAAAACATGGTAATATTACATAAAGAATGTGATTCAAGCATGCATACATACCTTCCCCGTATCCCTCTTAGACCCTATTGATGCATAATTACGAAAATATTGGAGACAGGTTTGGAATTTTACGAAAATGTCGGTCAGCTCCGGTAACATCGAAATTGCAAATCGTATCAGGAATTAACCGTCATTGCGACACTGCATCAACGAACAGTAGGTTTGCAATTAATAACTATTTTGCGTGTATACAAGCGCTATATAAATCAATCAAAGATACCTGTTATCCTCAAAATTGATCTTTATATCCCGAGTAATCGCGTGATAATTATCAATCTATTTGACAACAATTTCGTTTCAATAGTTTAAATTTTAACCCGGGACGAACAGACACAACGACGGACATGCGGAAATGTCATTTTAGAGATTGGTAAGTTTAACCTCATTTTACTCGTATAAATGAACATTTAATACAATAATATTGTGTTGAATCGCTTGATGTTATGTGTTTTTATATTGTTGTCAAGTATCAGTTGCATGTTATCGCGGAAAAATGGTTTCGGTGGATCCAAAACTTGCATCAAAGGAAAGAATAGTAAAGAGGTTAAACTCAATAACGGCCCCAAGAAAATTCCTAATAATAAAGAACGCCGTTATTGAGTTTAACGACGTTGAACTAATGGGTATCTAGCCTACCCCACGAATAGTGGGAAGTCCTCCATCTAGGAGGTATATACACCAGGTTATGCTACTAATAATTAAAAAAAATATGAAAAAAATTTCTACTGCGCATGTGTGAAACACTGGACGAAATGGTTTGGTAAATTTCAAGCTATTTGATTGGTCGAAAAAATCACATGCCTTTGCGTGATTTGCTTTATTCTCGTGAGATAAGGCGCTCCATCCCCTTAAATTTTTATTTTGAACAACCATTATGATTTGGTGCATTATCTGACCAATAAAGCAGATTTGGAGGTATGAATATTTTTTTTATTTTTCTGTTTAGTGTTTCCTACAGGCCCTATGTGTCTCAGGATATTTGTTTAACGAAAACTAGACAAATAATTTATTTTAAAAATACATATTTTTTATTTTGAATGGAAGCTGCGTAACCTGACAAATAATATAAGTAATATATGGAGGACTTCCCATAACCGTGGCCTACCCCCATAAATGGAGACCCTATCTGTTGCAAGACTAACGTAACGGTCACCATGTTATTCAGTGTTTTTTAAGTAGCGCAAGGATCCTGCCGTGACCGTGGTAATGTTATCGTGAAAGCCTGGTATAACCGCGACAATGCTGTATTATATTGCAATGCCTGCCATGACCGGGACAATGTAATATAGTTCTGCAAGGCTTGGCATGACCGTGACAATGTAATTATATAGTACTGCAAGGCCTGGCATGACCGTGACAATGTAATATACTGTAGTGTCTGCAAGGCCTGGTATGACCGTGACAATGTTGTATAGTTCTGCAAGGCCTGGCATGACAAGTTCAGGTATGAGAGTGGTAATGTAGAAACTGTTACGATTTGGATTGCTATAACCGTGACAATGTGTATTGCAAAGCCTGGCATGACCGTGGCAATGTATTTTATTATGGGATCGCAAAGCCTGGTATGACCGTGACAATGTAATATAGTATTGCAAGGCCAGGTATGAGGGTGGCAATGTAGAAATTTAGGCTTAGTCCTACTATGACCGTTATAATGTATTGCAATGACTAGTAAATATGTATGACATTAATGCAAGGAATATCCTTAACAATTTTAAGTGATCGTCATTACAATTAAACAGTTTAATACTATGATCATGGTGTTTAGGCTTAAAGGGTTCCGATTAGCATCCCGTATAAAAACAATATGGCGGCTCCAGGCGAATCAACTGGATCAGTCCATTTTTAAGAAATAAGGGGAGTTCTGTAAAATCCAGTTTATTGAAATTGTCTTTGAGATAATGTAATCCGTTTATAATGATTTTGAAAACGTTATCCAAAGAGTGATTGCGTTAAAATAATACATGTACAACAGCCAATATAAATTCTTGTATTAGAAACCGGTTTGTCTTGCTTTGTCTCATTTGTAGGATATTGCATATGCCAAGCTGTGTGCTATTACGTTACGGGGAAATTTAGATGCCAATTTTTCCTTATTATACACAAATAGAAGATCCTGAAACTTCACCCATAAATGTGGAATTGATTTGTCAAAATAAAAATCACCCTTTTTATTATGTCCCCACCACATAGTGTGGGGCCATATTGTCGGCCTAGGCGCGTCCGTCTGTCCGTCCGTCTGTCCGTCCGTCTGTCCGTACGTCCAGGGGTTTTCTCCAAAACCGCTACAGATATCACCTTCAAATTTTCAGGGATAACTTATGAGTGCATACAGATGTGGATGAAAAAATCTTAACTCGATACCTACTTCCTGTCGGCCATTTTGAAGTCAAATGCTAAAATCCTTGTCGATAATACTTTGTATCATATTGAATGGTGTTTTTGAGTTTTCATACTTTAACTATTTAGTAGCTTTATAAATAATTTCAGATGTACTTTCTTGTAAAAGCCTATGTTATTGTTAACAGTAGTTATATGTGATAATTTTGTAAGAAGAAATTAGCAAAAACACTTAATCACTTTTTTATTGTCGGCCATTTTGGATTTTTCCGTCCTAAAATCTTGTCTGTGAAGTCTTGTCTACGTGTTTTTAGGTGAACCGTTTGGTGGATCAATTTCAAATTTTCAGGGATGATTCTTAGTATAAAAATCTAGATCTGATTTGTTTTTTGGCATTCTGGGTAAATGTCAAGGCAGCCATTTTGGATTTTCCGTCCTAAAATCTTGTCTGTAAAGTCTTGTCTACGCGTTTTCAGGTGAACCGTTTGGTAGATCAATTTCAAATTTTCAGAGATGATTCTTAGTATGAAAATGTAGAACTGATTAGTTTTTTGGCATTCTGGGCAAATGTCAAGGCAGCCATTTTGGATTTTCTGTCCTACAATCTTGTCTGTAAAGTCTTGTCTATGCATTTCCAGGTGAACCGTTCTGTAGATCAATTTCAAATTTTTAGGGATGATTCTTAGTATGAAAATCTAGATCTGATTAGTTTTTTGGCATTCTGGATAAATGTCAAGGCAGCCATTTTGGATTTTCCGTCTTAAAATCTTGCCTGTAAAGTCTTGTCTACGCGTTTTTAGGTGAACCGTTTGGTAGATCAGTTTCAAATTTTCAGGGATGATTCTTAGTGTGAAAATCTACATCTGATTAGTTTTTTGGCATTCTGTGTAAATGTCATGGCAGCCATTTTGGATTTTCTGTCCTAAAATCTTGTCTGTAAAGTCTTGTCTACGCGTTTTCAGGTGAACCATTTGGTAGATCAATGTCATATTTTCAGGGATGATTCTTAGTATGAAAATCTAGGAACAGATTAGTTTTTATGTCCCCACCACATAGTGTGGGGCCATATTGTCGGCCTAGGCGCGTCCGTCTGTCCGTCCGTCTGTCTGT